CTACACTCGCCGTGGCCGGTCTATCCAAGCTCTCGACGCCGAGCGGCGTCGCTCGCCCTCGATCGAGTCGAGAAAAGTCGAGGCTCGTTCGTTCGCTGGCACCCGCGCGCGCGCGCGCGCGCGTGCGCTCCGACTCGCCTCTAATGTCGCTTCCGTACTCTCGGATCGTGCTCGCCTTGGGAGATACGTATGTGCTTGCGTGTTGTGACGTTGTGACCTGTACCGGAAGTGCGAGCGGGGAGTAGTAGGAGTAGTAGAAGAAGTTAGTAGCAGCAGCAGCAGCAGCAGCAGCAGCAGCAGCAACGACGGCAACAGTACAGTAGTAGTAGTAGTAGTAGTAGGAAGAGATGAAGGAAAAGAAGAAGTAGTCGGAAGAGGTGGAATTCGAGTTCACGAACCAACATTCAGTCTCGCTCGGGTACAGGAAGTGGCGAGAAGAACGAGAGCTACGTCTCGCGCGTCCAAGTGCTTCCCATTGTTATGCGCGTTCGTAACATAATTATTATTAAAAATCTATTATAAAAAAAAAATACACGTGAACCCCTCTTTCTCTCCTCGGACAAGTGCGCGTCGTGCCCGGGGCGCGACGTTCGTATTATACACCCCGAACGTGAGGGGAGTACAGGTGAAACGGTAGTGCCGAAAGTGTGGATACCTCGGACAACACCCCGGCCCCGGCGCTGCCCCCGCGGCAGCCGCTCCGACCGCGTAACGCCGCCGTCGTCTTGAAGTGCGAGGACGCGCCGCGACGTACGGCGTCGACGGCGACGACGGATAATACGGCAGCGACGGCGGCTACGACGACGACGGCGCCGCCGAGGAGGACAACGACGACGCCGACGACGACAGCGGCCACGGTTGCGCCAGCCACGTTCTCCACGTCCCACGGCTCAACGAACCCCCCGGCCGTTGTTCGAGTGTCGCCGCAGCCGCCGCTCTTGACGCCGCCCCAATATCCTGCGCCCCCACGGCCCCCTAGTCGTACCGGTGAGTGTGTGCATTCAGTTAATTTTCTTTTAAATTTCTCCTCCCGATTTCGCGGGTCGAGATTACAAAATCTCCCGAACCTGAGGAACCACGCGCCCACAGGGATAGCCGTTGGCGTTGGAATCGCTCGGCCGATTAAAATTGCGATTAATAGTTTACGCGCGATTAGTAAGAGTAACGGCGTTTGACAGAATAACTGCATTCCCACGAGCTTCCGATTGTGTGCCGCCGGTGAATGCGCGAAAATTCGTAATCGCCTCCTTCCCTCGATTTACTTACGGTTCCTCGACCAGCACGGGCATGGGCACATCGCGCGCGATGATGAAGTGAGTACTCGTGTGCTCTCGCGATAGCGCTCCGCGATATAATTGTGAACTCACGTGTGGTTTCCACGCGTTTTCTTCGATCGAATTAGGACGAGACTCTCTTCCTTCGAATTACGCGTGTTCGAAGAGACATAATTCGGAAGGAATGGCCGGTCCCAGAATTCTCTCGAAGACTCTTCTTGAAGATGAGTGGTCAGATTTCTGAGTTTTCCTGGATTTTATACTTGTTATACCTACCTTATAGTCTATAAATTAGCGCGAAATTAAGCGCCAAACGGTCGTTCCTCATCCAAGAAATTCAATATCGTGGCATCCGCAGTAACCCACTGCCGGCACAGATACGATAATATCCGTTGATATCGTGCTATTACGGTAGCATTACGACTATCGCTGATGGGCATTGTGGCGGATGAAACGGATGACATTAATATCATCCAGGTGTAATTCCCTCCGGCGACGATGGCCGGACTGGGATTTATCAAATACGGGGCGTAGAATTTCGTTGGAAAAACGACGTCCGGGATGGACGGCTGTCGGGCAAATGACCCGGACCAACTGGCTCCCGACGCTCCTTTTTTTTATCCCGCCCGTCGCTCCGCGTTTCTGTTTATTTGCCCATACCCCGAGAGAGAGGAGAAGCAGCATTTTCGTAATAAGCGCGTAACAGCCGATTCATAGCGCGCTGGTATCATTGGTAAAGGCGTGCGAGATGAACCGGGAATTTGGCAGATATCCTGTTCTCGCGCGTTGCGAGAAAAAAGTACCTCGAACGTGCTCAGGCATTGAGTGTCAAATCAAAGCTAACTAGCGTATCCTCTGTCTCATAGAGTATGGCTCAGAAATCCAATCATCCACTGAGCTTTTGCATCTGATTTATATATCTTTTTAGATACGTAAAAGAACATATCAACCGGACGAAAGTTCGACGGACAAGCGCTCGGTGAACGGTTGGTTATGCATCTCTAGATGCATCCATTGAAGGGAATTTAAAAAGAAATTTCATATGCACGATGTCGATCGTGATTTCGCCTCTAAATCCGTGAGAAAATTTACACTCGCACGTCCCAAAGAGCCGAGATATCTCTGATGAATGTCGTCCCGACGCGTGAAACGTCTCGCGACGACACGTCCGCTCCTCCCCGGATTTTTACGTCGAGCGAAACGTCCACTCTTTTTCGAATTGGTTCGAGAGCCCATAGGCTAAGAGACACATCCGTTACGCTCGCGATGTACCCCGTGTACCATTTACGCGACGCGTTTCGGCTCCCTTGGCAAAACGCGGACGGAACATCTGGAAGCGAGGAGATCCGCGACGGGGCGAGGAAGAGCGAGATGGAGGAAGAAGAGAGAAAGAGAGTGCCGGGTAAATCTGGAAACCGCGTGCGGCGGCGTGCTCGTTTACGAAATTCCGTGCCTTGTTGTTTCCAAGCTGGCGCTAATCATCGCCGGACGCGCGCGATACTCGGCGGAAACGGCCGGGAGCGATAAATCCCCGAAAAATATCTGCGTCGTTCGCCGGCGGAAATCGATCGAGAGATCGAGCTCGCTCTTCCCCCCCCCCCCCTACTCTCTCGATTCTCCGCTCGCTCTATCTTTCTCCCCGTTTCCTCTATCGTATCTCTCTCCGCGTCGTTTACGTTGATTGCTCGTTACATTGTTCGCCTTCAAAAAACGATTAAACATTCTTAATCGATTCTCCGCAAGCGCACGAATTAACATTATGGACAACCAGAGAGGGTTTGAAGGTACGAAATGCTCGAGTATTCATTTTACTCCTCCTATATTTTTCGGTGCGTTTGCATCTTTTTGTGATCTTTTTAATTAAGCGAAAACGAAACAGGGATCTCTCAGGAACTGTTCCGAGTTCTCTCCTCGGTTCTCTCTCTGTGTGTCCATGTGTGTGTTTTCCTCAATATTTTTAGCCGCTCACACTTCGATGTATTTTCATTGCACATTTGTTCTCGGAGGATTTTCTCGCGAAATACGATAAATCTGTGCCCGTCTCCTACTCCGCATCGCTATCTCTCTCTCTTGGACGAGGTCGTGCGACTTCGTGCCAACTCCATCGACGGTTAGAGCGTGACTCGTTGCGCGCATTGAGTCACACTACGCTTTCATAGAGACCGAACCAGTCACAGGGGCGAAGCGGTGAATGAAACCCACAGGTGTAGAAAGTTCGCGAGAAAGTCGCCGTCGCCTTTCCGTTCGTAAAACTCACACACCGTCGCGCACATGCACATGCATTCGCATCCGCGCGCATACTCCTCCTCCTCCTCCTCCTCCTCCTCTCTCTTTCGCCCCGTTACGCTGTGCTGTGCTGTATAGGCTGAAATCGAGAATAATACTTCTCGTGGAATTTCAAAAAAAGGGTGCATCGATGAGATTTCTATGAAACACCGTCTTTAATCTTGATTTCTACGTCGCTTTGGCTCTACGCGCGCCTATTCTTACCGTATTAAGACTTTGCTGGGAGTACAACGCTATATTTTAGAGCTGAGACTTTCCACAGTCACGTCAGACTAAATTACGAATCGACGGAACTATCTTTTAGAGTCTGAAATTGGCCGACGCCACCGGGAGTGACTTTCGTCAAGCTGCTAAATCTTTCGCAACGGATTCCCTGGCGCGAGTCGTATCTGCGAGACACCCGTTACAGCACCCAGGAGTATGCGTGTGCACGGCTTATTGACACAGAGGCTCGAACACGTCGCTCGGCCGCTCTCATTGGCACCACACGCCGTGAATGCCACTCGGCACGGAGTCGCCGTGCGACTTTGGCACATGCGTCCACGCGGCCGTGCGTGCGTGCGTGCGTGCGTGCGTGCGTGTCCTCTTACGTGCGCGGCAATATACATCGATTGTGTTCGGCACCGAGAAGATAGATATCGACGTGTCTTGCACACACACACACACACGCGCGCGCGCGCGCGCGCACGCACGCACGCACGCACGCACGCACACGCACCCACAGCTGCGGTATGTATTCGCGCGCACGCACGCGCGCGCGCCATATACGCCGCGAAGTCGATCCGGCATGAATGAAACCATGATTTCCACGCATGGCGCAAAAGTAGGCGACTCTCGTGGCGGGGAGAGGCGCGAAAACGAGTAGAGACTCGACGACTCTCGTGTGAATTTTTAACATGGCTTCTCTTGCGACTCTCATTCAGAAACTCCCGTCGAGAGACACTCCGCGGTAATTAACGTACAAACACCGCAAATTGACAATGCGTAATTGTCGTTTCTCGCAGTATTAATATTGCGATGTTGCGTCAATTACGTTCGCGTTGACGACGCTACTTGGATGTAGGACTTTGCTTTTAATTTAGCTTATTATTATTTATATTTTATTTATATTTTACATTAGAATTCCGACCGCTCTAACAGATGGAAGATGATAATGGTTTTAGACGAAGTTTCTTTCCCGACCGTTTATACTTCTTTGTTTTACTTACTAAGTTCGCGTGACGAATGCATAACTCAGATAAAGAGTGAATAGCAGAAAAAACAAATACATGTACATATCGGTAGAGCTGTTGTATGCGCATAGTGACCGTTGCCCTCGTTTATTCATCGCCTCGTCATAGGTAGGAAACCGTTTCCAAGATACCGGAAGTCGCAACTCATTCATGAAGTATTTATATTTGAGTTGTTTATTGCCGTACTAATCGCTTAAATACATTGTGTTGAAAAAAATGTTATCAATACGCGCATTCGATTGTTTTATCACTTAAAAATGTATTCGTTGTACAAGATTAAGTCGAAGAGGTTTAAAATAGTATCACGCGGTACTCGTCGACGAAACAAAAATTCCGGAAAAAAGTTTATCATTAATATCAAGAAATACTAATTTACTCAAGCTTATTTAAGACGGAGAGTCGAGCCAAAAAGGATGAATAAAATGAAATTGTCAGAAAAATAAAAGATACAAGGTATCGTAAATTATCCGCAAGAGAATTAACTTTTTTTTTTTATTTCTCTTTATGCAAGAAATGAACATGTAGGAGATATAAAGATAAATAACCGCGCGAAACAACCGAGTACTTTTCGCCATTGTTTTTCGTTCGTCACTAACCGATTGGTAATCAATTCGATTGTATTTTACTATGATAAATCCGATCGAAAGCGTTCGACCTTCCTCGCTTTGAAGCTGCGACATCGCTGCCTGGATCGTGTTAATCATACAATAAGTAATCCTACACGCGCCGCAGACGTACTCTCGATATCCTAAGGCTAAGCCTATCGAGCTCTCTCGACTCCAGTAGCGGATCGAACTCGCGCTCGAATCTCGCTATGTAATCGCGCTATGTTCTCTCTCCCTTTCTGTCTCTCTAACTCTACTCCGCCATCTCTCTCCTCCTCGCGCGTTCTCTTATTCCCCGTCCTCTCTCTCTCTCTCTCTCTCTCTCTCTCTCTCTCTCTCTCTCTCTCTCTCTCTCTCTCTCTCTCTCTCTCTCTCTCTCTCTCTCTCTCTCTCTCTCTCTCTCTCTCTCTCTCTCTCTCTCTCTCTCTCTCTCTCTCTCTCTCTCTCTACTCTCTCTCTCTCTCTCTCTCTCTCTCTCTCTCTCTCTCTCTCTCTCTCTCTCTCTCTCGCTCGCTCGCTCGAGTAACACGAGAACACCGCCACGCTATCTTCATGTTTGTCCAGCTCCGTTATCTCACGTTCCTCCATTT